AAGGAAATCAGTCCTGAATATTCATTGGAAGGACCAACGCTAAAGGTGAAACTCTGATTCTTTGGCCACCTGATGGGAAGAGCTGACTCATTTGAAAAGCCCCTGATGCTGGGAAAGTTTGAAGGTGGGAGGAGAAGGGGACGACAGAGGATGAGATGGCTGGATGGCATCACCGACTTAATGGACATGAGTTTGAGTAAACTCCAGGAGTTGGTGATGAACAGGGAGGCCTGGCATGCTGCAGTCCATGGGGTCTCAAAGAGTCAGACACAACTGAGCAACTGAACTGAACTGAACTGAGTGCAAAAATATAGAGTTTAGAAAGATGATAATGATGGCCCTGTATGCAAGACAGCAAAAGAGACAGAGATATAAAGAACAGACTTTTGCAATCTGTGGGAGAAGACAAGGGGGGGGGATGATTTTAGAGAATAGCACTGAAGCATGTATATTTCCATATGTGAAATAGATGACCAGTCCAAGTTCGATGCATGAAATAGGGCACTCAAAGCTGGTGCCCTGGGACAACCAAGAGGGACGGGATGGGGAGGGAGGCGGGAGGGGGGTTCAGGATCGGGGACACATGTACATCCATGGCTGATTCATGTCAGTGTATGGCAAAAACCACCACAATAGTGTAAAGTAATTGCCTCCAATTAAAATTAATTAATTAGTTTTAAAAATAGCGCTCTTGGGATGATAGCACTTTCCATGCAACATGTGGCTAAGAGCAATTTTCCACATAACAGGGGCACCTGATGAGTGGTCTGTGTCTCTTCCAGGAAGTGTATGTTGGCAAGGAGACCCTGTGCACCATCGACGGCCTTCACTTCAATAGCACATACAATGCCAGGGTGAAGGCTTTCAACTCCTCTGGCGTCGGGCCCTACAGTAAGACTGTGGTCCTGCAGACGTCCGACGGTGAGCACTGGGGTGTCTCAGGGGAAACAGATTCAGGCCCAGCCCACGTATCAGATGGGTGGACAGATGGACAGGGAAAATCTGTGAGTTGCTGGTGAGGGAGGCATCAGGGCTAAAGGAAAGAGGCGGCAGCTGGGTGAGTCCATCTCGTCCAGCCCTGCCCCTGGTCCACTCACCTTGCTCCCTGCCCACTCGTCACAAAGGAAGGAGACATTCCTTCACCCCACTTGCTGGACCTGGAAAGTGCCACTAGAGCTTGGGAGGCACAGGGGGAAACTACAGTCCCTGTGTAGTCTCACTTCCAAGGGGCCAAGAGTGGGTGGGATGTCCCAGAGAAGAGCAGGCAGGCGGCTGCCAGGAGGAACTTGCCCCTCGAGCACCCGGTACCAGAGCTGAGATCTGAGTGCCGCAGACCTCGCTGTGTCCTGTCAGGTTTCAGGCAATCAGAGCACATCCACACTCCACTGGATTTTGATCATGTGAATCCCGAGCGTCAAGGGGTAATGTAGGGTCTGGTCTGCTGCACCAAACATGTACCTGTCGGGCCTCAGGGGTCCCCGGAGGGTACCAGCCCTGTGTTACTGTCAACGTTAGTCCCAGGACTTCCCTGATGGCTCAGCAGGTAAAGAATCCACCTGCAATGCAAGAGACACAAGAGATGCAGGTTCGACCCCTGGGTCAGGAAGATTGCCTGGAGGGAGGGCATGGCAACCGGCTCCAGTGTTCTTGCCTGGATAATCCCATGGACAGAGGAGCCTGGCGGGCTACAGTTCATATGGTCACGAAGAGCCGGACGTGACTGAGCGACTAGCACTTTCACTTATCCCAGCCCATCCTCTGGCTGCCCTGAGGAACATGTGGCAGCCTGAACCGTCCCCGAGCGATAGGCAGAGGGTGCTGTCCCCGGGGTGGGCTCCCCAGCTCTGTGCCCCTAGAAGCCCTCACCTGCCAGCAGGCTGTGGGTGGAGGCTGGAACACAGGGGCTTTGCTGACCGCACTTCACCTCTCTGCCTCTCGAGTCTCTCTCCATGATGCAGAGCTGGATGTCTATCCTCACTCCTAATAGCGCCCAAAATGTGTGTGAGTGCTGTAGAAACCAAGATTCCATGACAGCATGTTAGATGGGGCCTGGATATCTGTGTACTTGGCCCAGCTGGGGTCATGGGATTGGGCACTTGGATGAACACAGAGGAGAGAGCGTGAATGTGTACGTGCGTGCGTGAATTGAGCAGGGAAGAACACTCAATGCCGTGCGGCCACTTCCTGAGAGATGCCAGTGAGTCTGTCTCCGAGCCCAGGTCAGAGGCTGCCGGCAAGCTCAACCCAACCCTACCCCTCTCACCCNCCGCAGGGCCTTGAAACAGGCAGGCAGGGGGTGCAGTGCCCTCGGGGCACTCACTGCACCGGCTCTGACCTGGGCAGCCCTGACCTGGGCTGCCCCAGCATGGCCTTGCCCTGAGGCTGGCCTGGGAGAGTGGGGTCACCCGGCCAGACTCGGGAAACTCGGAGCCTGGGGGAGACCCTGGCCCCAGTACTGGAGGGTTGTGGCTCTCCAAGCCACCTCCTCACTGTGGGGTCTTATTCCCGGTGTGCTGAGAGCTGTCACCCCTGCTGGGAGAGGCGAGAGGCCCGGAGGAACCAGACTCCCTGGACTGCAGCGCTGGGCCGGGTCAACTCCAGGGGCTCTCAGAGCTCCAGACCCACCTCAGTGCTCCTGCAGGTGGCCCCAGGAGCCCTGGCCTGGGACAGGGACTTGCCAGAGGGTCCCCGGGGGCTGAAGGCAGATGGGACCCCTACCAGCAGCCTTTTCAGCGGCTGACTCCCTCTCCACAGGCCTGGGGTGACAGCAGGCAGCTCCTCCCCAGGGGCTGGGCCGCCTGGCCCTGCACCTGCCCGGCCGTCTGCTCACAGGCCACCTGGGGACCGGGTCCAGGCCCCCAACGCCCTCTCTGCTTGCTCAGACCAAGCAGGAGCCTAGACACCCTGGGTGGGAGTGCCAACAAGGAGCATCTATCAAGAGCCTACTTTGTTCATGGAAAACAGCTGGCTTATGGGATTTCGTTTGTGCCTCAGGAAAGTTCGATTGTTTGGCAGATTATGAGGTCAGGGCTTAAGATTAACATCTAAGTCTTGGGGCTAATTGGACAATGGTGTCCGGGTTTAGCTCAGCACCCAGGCTCCAGTTCCAGGGGAAGGGTGGAGAGGGGGCTGGGCTGGGCCAGGAGACCCAGGGGAGGCGCTGGGTGGGCCTCTGTCCAGTGCCTCAGGCAGGTCCTTGCCGCCACCAGTTGCTCAATGTCTGAGCAGCACCCCAGGCCCCGGCAAGTCCCAGTCCCACCAGCAGAGTCCCACCCCGCGGGGCCTGCCCTGCCCTCTGATGACACCCGCCCAGCACTCCTCGCCGCTTCCCATGCTCTCAGCCCACCATGAGCCGACCGGCTCGTTCCCCATCAGGAGAGGACAAAGATGGTTTTCTGATCAGAGCAGAGCCGCCTGTGTCAAGGCGGACCTCCACCTCAGCTAAGGGAGGGGAGAGTCTAACAGACTCGGCCCGCCCACCCCCGGGAAGCAGACAGGTGAGGGTGCTGCCCACCCAGAGACTCGCCCCACCCCGTGGATGCGAATCCAAACCACCATGAGATGCAGTCACAACATTCACCACGAGGGTCCCGGTTTTGGCCCTTTGCTCTACGGCGGGTCCTGGGGGATGACCCTGCCCACTGCGGGTTTCCAGGCTAGGGGGTCCCCGGCAGCCTTCAGCTGACCCTCCTGTCCTCACGTCCACCCCGGCTTCTCTCCCCAGGACGGAAGGCGGTGTGTGCAAGGGGGCCACCGTGGGTGTGCTGCTGGACCTGAATAAGCACACTCTGACCTTCTTCATCAATGGGCAGCAGCAGGGCCCCACAGCCTTCAGCCACGTGGACGGGGTCTTCATGCCAGCCCTCAGCCTCAACCGCAACGTTCAGGTACTGGGCACCCTCCGGGCCAGGGCCCCCTGCTGGCCCCCACCCCCGCTGCCCGTGGGCGTCCAAGGTGTGCTGGACAAAGAGGGCTCTAAAGAAGCCGATGGCATGCTGCCCGGCCGGGAGCTTACCTGCCGCCCACCCGGGCCTTGCCTGGAGACAGTCTCCTCCAGCGTGATGAGTCCTTTCTTGGCCCCTTGAAAGCAGCAGAGGCTCTAAGGTGGCTGTTGGTGGACAAGCACGGGGACGGAGGGGCAGCAAGGGTGCAGGAGGCGGGCAGGTCCTGGCTACACGCTCTGGGAAAGCTGCCAGACCGGAAAGCCGGTGCCTCCTGCCCTGCCGGGCCCTGGTGGCCAGGTGTGTGCTGGGCCTCACATGGCTTTCCTCCAAGAGGAGGGAGAGTTGGGGAGAGATCATGCCTAAGGGTTTACCCCCATCCCATCCCTGCCCCTCTGGTTCCCTCAGAAAGCCAGCATCCTCCCAGGGCCGAGTCCAGTCCTGGGGCCACCTGTTCAGGAGCCCCACGAGGGTGTGAAGGATAGGCAGGAGCGTGGAGGGATGCGCGGGCGGTGTGCCAGCCTTTGTTCCCACACACAGCTCCTCCCCGGGAAGTATGGGGCTGGGAGCAAAGCTCTGCTTTGAGGTGTCCACTGACTCTGAGTATTAGCCCTCAGTGACGGATCTGTGGGGTGGCGCAGTGGTAAAGAATCCACCTGCCAATGTGGGAGATGTAGGTCCAATCCCTGGGTTGGGAAGACCCCCTGGAGAAGAGAGAAGCCCACTCCAGTATTCTTGCCTGGGGAATCCCCATGGTCAGAGGAGCCTGGCGGGCTGCCAGTCCCCGACATCGCAGAGTCAGACACGACAGGGAACTTAGCATCCACTCGCGCACAAATCAATCAGTGCGTGTGTGCTCAGTCTCTGACCTGTGTCTGACTCCTTGAGACTCTATGGAATATAATCTGCCAGGCTCCTCTGTCCTTGGGGAGTCTCCAGGCAAGGATAGTGGAGTGGCTTGCCATGCCCTTCTCCAGGGGATCTTCCCAACCCAGGGATCGAACCCACATCTCGTATGTCTCCTGCATTGGCAGGTGGGTTCTTTACCACTAGTGCCACCTGGGAAGCTCTTGATTGATTTGTTCCTCTGTCCAGGGGAGTCTCCAGGCAAGGATAGTGGAATGGCTTGCCATGCCCTTCTCCAGGGGATCTTCCCAACCCAGGGATCGAACCCACATCTCGTATGTCTGCTGCACTGGCAGGTGGGTTCTTTACCACTAGTGCCACCTGGGAAGCTCTTGATTGATTTGTACCTCTGCTCATTTGCTAAAGAGCTCTGAGGCAGCCTGAAGTACGGGCTGTTCTTGCTCAGGGTTAAGAAAACAAATGTAGGAAAGGAAAGAGGGCCATGGAAAGAAAGCAGAAACAAATATAAACCCTGAGCCCAAGTCCTCCTGCAGCAAAGAACCTCAGCCTTGCTGAGGCTCCTGGCGGCTAGGGCAGCGTGGGAACCAGGCAGTACGCGGTTCTCACCGTGAGGAACGAGGCAAAGACCAGCTCCTCAGAGCGAGCTCCTGGGCCTGATGGTAGTGATGCCGAGCATGATAAACAGCAGATTCCACAGCAGAGAGAAGCTGGGCTGCTGCCCGTGGTGATCCTGGAGCAGAGGCCATTGCACTGCTGCTGAGCTGTGGGCGTTGAGGGTTCACGGGGGCTGCTCTGCCCCCGATCATCACGTCTTCTTTTCCAGGTCACCCTGCACACAGGACTGGAAGTGCCAACGAACCTGGGGCGGCCAAAGCTGTCAGGCAACTAGCCTGCCAGGCCCTGCTCTGCGTGGCCGTCCCTCACTGCACTCACATAGCCCCCGAGGGAGCACAGCCACATCCCGGGTGCAGCCCAGCAGCCGCTGAGCATCTTAGAGACACGCTTTCTTTGAGGGACGGAGAATGTCTGAGGCCAGGCTCACTGAGGCCGCAGAGGGTGGTGAACGTGGGTGCTTCCTGTCGTTCCAATGGGCATTACAGACACGAAGAAGGACGTTTGTCAAGACAGTGAGGAAGTATTCGGGGTTTCATTTGGTTTCCTGCCTTCTGTTTTCAATGCTTGTCTTTTGCAGAGGGTGGGGAGGGGGGCAAGGGGAGAGCAGACCCTGTGGCGAGCATCCTGAGAGCAGGAGTCGGGGGTCCTGTATCCTTGGTGTCAAATCTTTGCTGGATGCACCGCTTCAGAGAACAAAGGGTGCTGGCTCCCATCTCTGTCAGGAAGTGTCATTCTTTAGGTTTTCAGTTCTGGCATATCTGGAGTCTGGCATATTCCACCACTTGCAGACGCAGCCAGGATGCACAGAGAGGGGCGTTAATTATTCACCTTGCTCTTTGCCGCTCCCACTGAACTGCTGAGAACTTTTTCAAACGTTTCCTTAGGTCCTTCATTAATCAACCAGTCTCTCTCTCCCCCGCCATCCCCTCACACATGCGCGCGTGCGCACACACACACACACACACCAGTCTGCTAAAATTCATTCGCTCAGTTCTTAAACACAAAACCCTGGAATCTGCATCACTGTGCGCTGAGTCTCCACCTGGTGATGGCTCTTTTTGGGAGCTGGCTCCTCCAGAAGTTAGCCGCAAACCCGAGTTACTCTTCTGAGCTGCGAGGCTCTCAGACTCATGAGACTGGAGGCCCTTTGGAAGCCTCTTATACCCAGTCCACCTTCACTTTGAGACCATCCACGGCCACCATGAGAGCATCGTGAGAACAAGGAGTGGCCCGATGGCAGGGCGGGCAGGACCCTGCAGAAGGCAGGAAACAGTGGACACTACCGTATTCCCGGCCTCCCCCCCTTCCTCAGTGTGAGGAGTCCACGTGGCCGCGGTGGGGCTCCGGAGTGAGCCCGCCCCTCCCTGCTGGAAACCTAACCTTCTCCCTGGAGTCCGCCTCTCGAAAAGAGTCTGCTCTGGGGTCTGAACCCAGCTGCACCCCTCTGCTCTCCCCATCTCTTCTTCCTTTTTGCCTGCCACCTCCCTCTCCAACTGGTAGTAAGCCTTTCTCTCTCCTTTTTAAAAGAATATATTTTATCAAGCATTATTTTTGAGGTCGAGGAGTAACTTGTCTATTTGCTGGCTTGCATTTTTATAAAACTTAGCCCGTAAACCGGCACCGACTGTGTCTACTTGGCCCTACCTGCTCGTTTAGACACTGCACTTGCTTTCCGAGTCAGCCCGGCCAGTGCCGTGCAGATCCTACTAGCCTCTATTCAGCAGACCCGACAATCCTACCTCAAGCCCCTGCTCCCAGACGAAGACTGCCGACCCAGCTGCGTCCACCAAGGTGGCCAGGGAGACTGGCCGCCCACGTCTGCAGGAGCCTCCTGGTGCTGTCTAAGCCTCTGCTGCCCAGGTCCTGGCAGCCATCCACTCAGTCGAGGTCCAGCCTCCTCCTTTTCATCCAGCGGGCGATGCACATGGCCCATCCACATCCTCGCAGCTGCCCGTCTCTTCCCCGCTCCCAGCATCCTTTCATCTCACTCCTGGGCCACGGCTCTGGGGGAACTCCCTGTGGAGGGTGGGGAAAGTTCTTGAAGCCTGGAGGCCCCAGAGGAACCCCTGCCTTCCCGGGGCAGGAAGCCGAGGCCGGCAGGTCCAGAGGCATCAGCATCGGGAATGTCTTTGGGGAAAGACAAGCCCAGTGAGCTGGGAGTGAGGTGTGGCGAGGAAGGTGGTGACAGGACGGCCCGGCGGAAGTGGCTCCTCTCAGTGGAGCCTGGGTGAGAGGCTGGGAGCTCCCACCATCGAAGCTGGGTGACCCTGCAACCCAGGCTCTGCGTCTTCAGGGAGGAGCTCCTTGGGATCAGCCTGCACTTGGCGGCACCCTTGGGAGAGCAGTGTCTGGGTCAGAGGGAGATGGGAAAGGGAGGAGGAAGGCCTCCTGAGGAAGAACATGACTTTCTTCCCAGCAGCAGCAGCAGCAGCAGTGGCCCCAAGGCCCTGTGAGTGCCGGCACAGGTGAGCATCTGCCTTCCGGCTCCTCCGGGGCCAGAAGCAAAACAGCTGACACCGAGCACCACGCCAGGTGGTCCGACAGCCACTCTTCTGTCCTCGGCACAAAACAACTTCTAGGAACAAGAGTGGACCACTGGGAGAAGGCAGGTCCACGTGTTCTTGAGGGACCAGCAGAATGAAGGAGTGACTCAACAACAACTCATGGTCCGTGTTACCCTCTCAAGAAGCCTGGGGTTCAGAGCTACTGCAGGGATTCTCATCTGCCATCGAATCCCTTGTTCGTTTACAATGTGGTGTCATCTCTGTACATAAGGTGGTATCAACATGATGCTTTGGTTGAAGGATAGCTTGGTGTTTGTCTATTAAGCAGTTTCAGTGAGAAAGGAATTCAAACTAATTTAAGATGTCAAGTTCCATGTCATTGTAAATAATGCCCCAGCCACATAGTTCTGTAGTTTGTTCTTTGCTCGTGAGCAGGTTTGGTCAAAGTGTATGCCTTTCCTTTTAGAATTAATCTCTTTAAAAATTATCCAATAGCACCTCACTGCATAGCACCCAAGCTCCTAATTCAAAGCAAGGTAAGACATGACACACGACCACTTTCCCGCTCTGTCCTATTTGGGAAAATAACGACCCCACCTGCCGCACAGAGTAACCAACCTGAAACCTATCAAACTGTACATAGTCTAGGATGAGTCTTCAGCACTATACGTACTCTGTAGTTTCAACAGCACCCTCAGGCGCCCCATGGCCCCCGGCCTCTCTGGTGCCCCTGCCCTCTGCCTACCAGAGCATTCTCAGGAAGGGACCAGGATGCAGGATCCGTGTGTACTTCTTCCAGGGATATTTGCATCCACGCCTTAGTTGAAAGACTTGGTCCCCTGAGAAGGTGCATTTCACAACAGGTGAGTAGGTTGCTTATAGATGAAGCTGCTGCTGGCTGTGAGGTATCGTATCCACATACAATCCCCAAAGCACTCAGCATGTCAACACTAAAAAACTATTGCAAGGCTGTGGGCGATGCAAGGAGTTCTCAATCTCAGCACTGTTGACATTTGGCAGAGCGGGGGCCTGTCTGATGCACCCAGGATGTTTAGAAGCATTCTTAGCCTCCCCTCAGTAGATGCCACTACTGCCCCCAAGCTAGTTGTGACACCTACAAGTGTTTGCAGGACTTCCCTGGTGGTCCAGTGGTTAAGAATTCACCTGCCAATTCAGGGGACGTGGGTTCAATCCCTGGTCCGGGAAGGTCCCACATGCTGCAGGGCAACTAAGCCCAAGATGCCTACACACCCTAGAACCCATGCTCTGCAACAAGAGAAGCCAGCATAGTGAGAAGCCTGCGCACCACAAGCAGAGAGTAGCCCCCGCTCACTGCAATCGGACAAAGTTGACACACAGCAGCAAAGACCCAGTGCAGCCAAAAATAAATAATAAAATATATTTTTAAAAAATAACTAACTAAAAAAAAAAAAGCTTTAAAAGGATCTACAGACGTTGCCAAGTATGCCCAGGGGACTCCCTGGCTGAGAACCACTGGGTTATGCTAGCAGCTGGTCATGGGTCGATACTCAGAGTGGTGTGTGGGGCGTCCACGCTGTGGTCCCCAGAAAGCCTGAACTGCAAACCTGTGGGCTTCATCCTAACACCCATGGCCAGGCCTTCCCAAGTCTGCAGTGTCCCGCCAGAATGGACAGGGCAGGAAAATGGGGAAGCCTCTCACCGAAGCCAGCCCGTCAGGTCTCACTTTGTATTCCTGAAGGGTCTCCAAGCCACCACCATTCCCAGAAAACAACACTCCTCACCGCGTTCTTCCCTGCCCGCTTCTGACTAGAAGCTGCAGGAACGTCTTAGCAGGTGTGTGACCTTCAACTGGTCAAAACGTCAAATCAGCCATCATCAGGAAGCTACTCAAGGCCTATGCAAATCCTGGAAACCACAGTGTTTCTTTCTCAAGCAAGCCAGGAGCTCCTGGCTATTCATTGGTCACATTCACTGATCCACGGCTTGAACTTTAAATGGACTATAAGACAGAGAAGAGTGGGTTTGGGGGGGGAATGCCAGGCTCAACCATCAGAAATGCCTCTTTCAACCCAGTACAGGTGGGGCCAAACCTCTTCAGTCTGTGCCTCAGCCTCCCCACCTGGACGTGGGCGCGGTCACACTAACCTACCTCCTCTGGTGTGTTGTGATGATCGTAGAGTAAGGAACGCTTCTTAAAGAACAAAGTAGAGACATGCATCCACCGAGTCCAGGCCAACGGTTCACACTTGGAGGACAGAGCCTGCGAGATGACTTTCCCGAGCCTCGTCTGACATGTCTTCCATCCAGGAGCACGTGTTGATTACACAGCTGCCTGGCCAGGAGTGCGTAAAGCCAGATTCACCTGAGCACAGAGAGCAACAGACAACTGCTCCCGTTCTCAGAACGGCCTGCTTTGATGGCACTGTGTGGAGCACTGTACGCAGGCTAAGCATCTGCATGCAGACGCTGCCTTGAAACATGGAAAGACAGCGACCGCCTCCCTGCCTTTGTGGTTATCTTAGCCCTCGTTTAAGGGGACCTTCAGCTGACGATGTTTCTCCTCTGTTTTCAAAGATCTCCGCAGAAGGAACGGCTTTGAAAACCAACACCTAAGCATGAGAAGGCATACAACCGAACTATGGTCTGGAAGGCAGGTTGGCCTAAAAGGTGGAGGGCCTGGTGTCCCCACGGGCTGGGACTCACCTGCACTACCTGTTATGGGGGTGGGGTTCATGGGTTTCTTGATGAATGACGTTGACTTGAGTCAGAGTAGCTGGGAGCTGAGGCTGCAGGCAAGTCTCTGAGCCAGGAGGCATCACTGTCTCTCAACGGGAGCAGAGGGCTGTCTGGCCCAAGTGCTGGGAGACCCAGGTAGCTCCTGGGTGCCACTCCCCAGACTAGGACCTCAGAAAGCCTCCAAGGAGAATCCGAGATAGGCTTCGGGTCCTGAAAAGTGACAGCTGGCAGCTGTGGGCACAGGAGCACAGTGGGTGTTTCCTGGGTGCTGTCGCAGCTTGGGAAGGACCCTTCCAACTCCTCAGTGGTGACTGGACGTCCCAGGCCCCGGGGTTTTCTCGGCACCAAGAGGAAGTGCAGAGTGAGCAAAGCAGAAAACTGGGGGGGAATGCCAGGCTCAACCATCAGAAATGCCTCTTTCAACCCAGTACAGGTGGGGCCAAACCTCTTCAGTCTGTGCCTCAGCCTCCCCACCTGGACGTGGGCGCGGTCACACTAACCTACCTCCTCTGGTGTGTTGTGATGATCGTAGAGTAAGGAACGCTTCTTAAAGAACAAAGTAGAGACATGCATCCACCGAGTCCAGGCCAACGGTTCACACTTGGAGGACAGAGACTGCGAGATGACTTTCCCGAGCCTCGTCTGACATGTCTTCCATCCAGGAGCACGTGTTGATTACACAGCTGCCTGGCCAGGAGTGCGTAAAGCCAGATTCACCTGAGCACAGAGAGCAACAGACAACTGCTCCCGTTCTCAGAACGGCCTGCTTTGATGGCACTGTGTGGAGCACTGTACACAGGCTAAGCATCTGCATGCAGACGCTGCCTTGAAACATGGAAAGACAGCGACCACCTCCCTGCCTTTGTGGTTATCTTAGCCCTCGTTTAAGGGGACCTTCAGCTGACGATGTTTCTCCTCTGTTTTCAAAGATCTCCGCAGAAGGAACGGCTTTGAAAACCAACACCTAAGCATGAGAAGGCATACAACCGAACTATGGTCTGGAAGGCAGGTTGGCCTAAAAGGTGGAGGGCCTGGTGTCCCCACGGGCTGGGACTCACCTGCACTACCTGTTATGGGGGTGGGGTTCATGGGTTTCTTGATGAATGACGTTGACTTGAGTCAGAGTAGCTGGGAGCTGAGGCTGCAGGCAAGTCTCTGAGCCAGGAGGCATCACTGTCTCTCAACGGGAGCAGAGGGCTGCCTGGCCCAAGTGCTGGGAGACCCAGGTAGCTCCTGGGTGCCACTCCCCAGACTAGGACCTCAGAAAGCCTCCAAGGAGAATCCGAGATAGGCTTTGGGTCCTGAAAAGTGACAGCTGGCAGCTGTGGACACAGGAGCACAGTGGGTGTTTCCTGGGTGCGGCCGCAGCTGGGGAAGGACCCTTCCAACTCCTCAGTGGTGACTGGACGTCCCAGGCCCCGGGGTTTTCTCGGCACCAAGAGGAAGTGCAGAGTGAGCAAAGCAGAAAACATTAAATGCATGATGTAGAATTGCTGCTTTCACACTCAACTGTTGTATTAAGCATGAGAGATGTGTGTTTAACGTTGGCAAAGGAAATTTCAAAGTAGCAAAAAGCTTCGTGTCCTTGTTTTAGCTGTTGATGACAGAAACTCCACCTTCCTGTCTTTCTTTACCCTGCTTTCCCCCTCCCCCACTCCTCCCCCACTGTGCCCACTCTCTGTCAGGAGTTGCTGCTGTTGGGTGGCAGCTCTTGGTCCTGTTGGTGTTCACATTCCACTGGAAACCCAGAGGAGGGAGGTGGGGGGAAGGTATGCAACTTTTTTCTAATTTTTGTATTGGTATCCCAAGCGTTTGTATTTTTTGAATTGCAAACACTGTGCTTTCTGGTCTTTGGGGGTTGGTTGGACTTTGTGTATCGCCTTTTGGAAAACTTGAGTTTTACCACAACCTTAAGCAGATTTGAAATAAATTCTTTTGACACTGCCAACAGCTGAAAGACAAGGTCTGATCTGTGCTGACTGCTCAGCAGCCAGGTCTGCCTCTCCAAAGTGGCCTAAGTGCCAGCTGGATGGGGCAGAAGGTGCAGTGGGGTTGGGTGGGGCCCAGGGAGGCCCAAGGTCAATGTGCTTCTCTGTGTGTGCTCATGGAATCATAAGGTGACTGATTACACGTGATGTGTGCTAAGTCGTCTCAGTCAGGGCCGACTCTTTGTGACTCCATGGACTGACTCTAGCCTGCCAGGGTCCTCTGTCCATGGGATTCTCCAGGCAAGAATGCTAGAGTGGGTTGCCATGCCCTCCTCCAGGGGATCTCCCTGACCCAGGGATCGGACCAACTTCTGTCTCCTGCGTTGGCAGGTGGGTTCTTTACCACTAGCACCATATGACTCTCAATTATAAGGTACTGTGTCAAACAGTTCATGAAACTCACTTTTGCAAGAAATTGGTAAGAGTTAACACATGGTTGGGATAAATTCATGAATGAAAAGTTGATCATGGGCTGCAAGTGGAAGCTAAGATTTGGGGGAAATGTCCTAATTGACCTGGGAGCATGCAGGAGACTGACCAGCCTCTTCACCCACAGACTGAGCCTCGTGTCTGACTGAAAACTCTTTTCCAAATTGTGCTTCCCAAGAACAGCTGTCTCCTGTACCACCACAGCCGGTGACCTGGTCTCAGCCTTCTGTCACCTGCTGGACCACCAAGTGGTTTAGCCAGGTTTCGGGGCCAGTTGTGGACTCTGAGAGCAGAGAGCAGGACGTCCCTTAGAGAGAGCTCTTGGCATCAACACAAAGAGAAGGAAGCAGAATCTGGTCAAGGGAGACCCAGCAAAGGCCTCGGCCATTCAGCTCAGTCACACAGAGTTGGGATGAAAGGCCTGGGCTCTAACACCCTCACGTCAGTCATCACTGCCTGGGATGTTAGAGGGGGTGGGCATCCCTGAGAAGAGCTAACTGCTGAAGCAGGTGCCTCAGCGCTCTTGGCAGAGAATCTAGAGGGACATGGCACGGCCCACCAGTCCACACCCTGTGCCACACACAGGTTTCCCTGAAGTTTAGGCAGAGGCTCCTTCAGAGTCACAGTGAGGGAAGCAGAGACGAGGCAGGCTGGCTGGTGCTGGAGCTGCAGACTCTCAGCGTGTGCCTGGACTCCGTCCACTGCCACCAAGAGCCTGGACCCTCATCCCCAGGGGAGCGGGGGCGGGGAAGACCTGGGCTTCCTGTTGCCAGGCCCTGCTCAGTCCTGGGTTCCCGCGCTTGTCTATTTACCACCAACACTGCGAACAGGGAGCACCGCAAACATCTGGGTGACCACCTGGGGGCAGACTCCTCCCTGCCCCCGGGTGACTGCCGCCCTGCCTCCGCTTGCCGGTCAGGGTCAGCTACCTCTGCAAGCTGGTGCCCATAGTTGCCCGGGCAAGAGCCTTGGTTCAGTGGAACACAGCTGTGCTCTCTGCTTCCTTCTTTGTCTACAAGGCCAAGAGCCGTGGGGCCGGGAATCACGAGCTCCCTAAGCGGGTGCTTGGGATTAAGGGCAGGTGGTAGTGTTGAATGGCAGCAGGACCGATCTGCCCAGGCATGCCCATGATCAGGGAGATGCCCTGTGAAGGGGGAAGGGCGCTGAGTATGGAAGACATAGCAGGGAAGCACTAAAGCTCCCAAGCGTGGGCTCCTCCCCAGCAGGACTGTTCGTCACCTCTCTCTGCAGCCAGCCTTTGCTGGAGGAAGCCTCCCGAATGAGGAAGTACACAGCGTGGTCTCACGGGACCATCAGTCCTGAGCATGCAGACTTGCTTGTCGCCCTGACCTGAGTATTTCCAGAGCACCCAGTGGTCACATGGCTCCTCTGTATTTACTCCGTAAATTAAAAGGTGAAACAAGAAACAAGGAAAGCAATTTACACTAGGAGCTTGCATGCTTTTCCAGAATTGACTAGCTGGGACTCTGGTCGAGAGTCGGGCCAAGTGCTCAGTTATCTGAGCCACAAAGGCTCAGGGGAGGTGGGGTGAGGTGGGACTGCTAGGTTTCCTGGCTCCCTGTCAATAAGAAAATGAGTTAAACTGACCGAGTACCCGCTCCAGTAGGTCATTTTCAGCTCCTCAGATTTTTTCTAGGGCTCTGTCATGTTTGGGATCTTCTATATCTTCTTAAAAAGTACACTTAAAAACTGCCAGGGACTTCGCTAGTGGTCTTAGTGGTTAGGAATCCACCTGCCAATGGTTCCATCCCTGGTCCGGTTCCATCCCGAATCAGGGAAGATCCCACATGCAGTAGAACAACTAAGCCTGCACTCCACAACTACCGAACCCATGCATCTAGAGCCCACGCTCTGCGACAAGAAGCCACCGCAATTGAGAAACTCTTGTACCGCAACTAGAGTAGCCCACAGGCGACAATGCAGGGACAGAAGACTCAGCTCAGCCAAAAATGAATGGACTAATTAAAATACATCTGCCAAAATACAGACCCTAATGAATACTGGCTTTCAAAATAAACCAGAAAAAAAAGTACTTCCAGTGTTTTAACTTAATAAAACATTTCCAATTTTGCTTCAATTCAAAACATACTTTGAACAGTGTCAATGCCTTCCAAGTCAACTTATGACTCACTTAAGAGAGTCAGCCAGTGCTGAAAAGTACCCCTCTGTGTTCCCCAAAACTTTATGTATGGCTGCCCCAAGAGATGACTTTGAAGGAGATAACATTCGTTTAACTTATTGGGTCATGTTTTTTAATAGTCATGTTCATTTTTACCAAAAAATTGTATCTATACAGCTTCTTACAAAGTAGATTTTATACACCTTAGGTAGGCTGAAAATTTAAACTGCTTTTCCCACAAAACAACTGACAAATTATCACATTCTTAATTCTTTAATGATTAAACATTTTTAGAAAATTAAAAAGCAATTTTAAGCTAATTATTAGAAGCTACAAATCTGTAAAATTATAAAATATCTACAAGTAAACACACAAGGCACCAGTGAAAGTGAAACCTGAGTGAACTGCACTGGAGAATATTAAACATTCTTCTCAATAATTTGACTTCAGATTCACATTGCAGTTGGCCCAGTGCGGTTATCATTAAAAAACAGATACTTCAGCAGCTAGAAATTCATTATTTCAATTTTTTTTCCTTAA